CAGATCCTAAGTTGCCGGAAACCATCCGTAGCACCTTGCAATTTTTTGTCAGGCCACAAATCCAAGGTGAGATCTTTGCACAACTTGTGACTCAAGTTGTGCATCTTCAAAAGAGACTTGAACCAATCTTGAATGCGAAAGAGGTGGATGTGGCCAACGAGGGAACTTCCCGCACCACAGTGGTGAGAGGAAATATGAAACATTTGGATGGCTTGGGACCCCCAACCAATGGTTGTTGGTCTATGCGTTTTTTCTTCCAAGAGAGAGGGTCTCCCAATTTTGATAAACGTATGATACGGGTCGGACCCTTCTCCACCTCTTGGTAGCGGTCCGGACCCTTCCCCAAAGCCTTCCCCAGCGGTCCGGGCTCAGAGATTGAGACACTGGATTCCACACATGAAGATCCCACCGTCACTTGCACCTCCCATGAAACACGGTTTGAAACAGAGGTGGCTCCGCAAGAACGGAAGACCCCAGGTTTCAGTCCTTGTCTTCCTTTCTCCAGTTGGGATTTTAGGCTATGAGTGGTATTGGATCCTGAGGATCCCTGGCGGAGTTTGTGCCCAAGATCACCGCCTTGCAGAAGAAGGCGCTGCTGCGAAAAATGGTTCGTTTGGGTGATGGTCACATTGGCTGGTCCACGTGGCGTGTTGCGGCGGTATGTGGCGGTTGCATTGGATTCATTGGGTGTTTCTTTCGGTTGGGGAGGGTCGTCTTGTGGGTTGAAGCATGGTGAAGAAGCATTCGGGGATTACCTGACCAGGCCTACTTGTACCAGGTGGTAGGCCACTTCGAGACATGAAGTGCCTCACATGTTCAGGGGAGCCAGATTAATTATGAGCACCTGTGAGTCATTTACGAAGTTGCGTTCCTTCTGTCTGAGGAAGATGGGACAGCGACAATTGAACTGGCCATACCGACCATGTCAGCTTTCAAACTCATTTGACACCTCGACACTTAAATGTAGACTCTTAATTGATTAATAACTACCCCCGCCGACATGGATCGAAAAAATATCTTAAGATACGCAGGGGTTACCAATCAAGCGTCTACATGACTTCCACAAGCGCCCAACTGTCCAATCGGCCGCAGCCCAGGCGGAAGATTTGCAGAAGCGGGACTTGAAGGTGTTGGAGGAGGGCCGAGCTCAATCGATGAACCGGTAAACCGTTGGCTTTTTGTTTTTTGATCCTTCTGCAAGTAACCTGTCAAAAATGGACTATCTTAGGCTTCTAAGAGGGTCTGCACTGACCTACCCCCTTGAATCTGAAGGAGGATGTTTTTTTTGGTTGGTGCCTGCCAAACTGCCAAAGAGGGGAAGATCTAATTACTGGAGTCCAGCGAGGTCGACGATGGGAGGAGGACCTCTGAGTCAGACACGAGGCGATTTCGGACGAGGCGAGTTCGATTCCACGCCAGAACAGTGCTTGGAGCTTTTAACCCATTGAATCGATCTCAACCGATCTACACATTACTTCTCAATTCCCAAACACTCCATGTATGGTATATTTACCTACATTGGGGTGGTTTGAGGGGTCAATGTAGGCATATATGACAGACATGGAGTGTCTGGGGTTGGGATAGACGGTAGACATCCAGTGTTTGGGCTTCCACCGGTCGATGTCAAAGCCAAGGTCACAGGTCACAGACGAACCCGTTCGGGGCGTCCCCCTTCTCGGTGCATGGCCACTCCGAGAAAGGACCTCCAGCCTGACCTGGAATTGGGGCTGTTTTGCATTTAATTCAGCTGGGAATCTGGGAACTGTTATTCTGTTCTTCACCTGCCACACCAATCATCCAATCTCTTCGACCTGAGGTCAACCGAGTCAACCCCCCAGGTGAGTTGCTAGGCCTGGGGGTGTCTGCCTCCGCCTTCCGATTTCGTGGGTTCGGTTCGGAAAATCGACGTTCTACCCAGTCACAGGGGCGAGAGGACGACCGGGGGTGAGACCGAAATGACCAGCCGCATGGGGTTCCTGTTTCCTCTCACCACTGTGTGGTGCAGGAAGTTCCCCAGTTCGCCGTATCATGCCGTATCCACCTCTTTCTTTCCCTACAAGTTCAGTTTGACCCTCAGGTGCTCAGGCAGGTCATTTTTACATCTGTTGAATGTAGTCGTGTGAACTTGTATGACCAACTCCAGTAACATGAGGTCAATGACCTGGTTTCGGTCCGACCTCCGAGATCTTGGGCATCGGTCAATGGTGGCCGTTCGGCTCAGAGCGGAAGACATGATCCTACAAGCATAGCAGCTGACATAGCAGAGGGTTTTGCTTAGAGATGTGTGATGATGTGTGTGCTAATTCCCAATTCCTTTTTTACATATGTTTCTTTTTCATTCTTCTTCCTTAAGCAACTTCAAGAATATCCTGCGATTCAACAAATGTGGATGCCAAGCAGCAGATAGTGTGCATGATGACCTGCGTTTTTTCAGCACCGCGGTAAGCGCAGTCTGCAACTGGTGGTGTGTGGGGGTTGTTTATGTTCTTACGTGCTCTTCACTACCGGGAAGGTGAAGAGACCGATTTCTATGCTTCGGAAAGATAGGTAGATCGATCATGGCTTACGGCTTACGGGCAACTCTGCAAGCGGATCTATGAGATACAAGTAGCTGAATCAATATCTAAGACTAACACTCCTCAACTGACTAAAGAGCCCTGCGCACAGGACATAGAGCAATCCAACGGCTGCGATCCTGTTCGGATTTTGTTGAGTGCTCGCTGCCTAGTCCATGCTTTCTCTCGAACGTGGTGTGCATTACGTGACTTCTAGTTGCAGGTCAGACCTGTCCCACGTACGCCACTGGCTGCACCGGCTGCCGGTGGACACCATGGCGCGACCACCGTGGCGGCCACCGGTGGCCGTGGCGCTTCTGGCCGCCGTGGCCGCGGAGGTGCGCTGGCCAGGTGGGGATCGACACAAATCAATGAAAGCTTCATTGTTACTAGTTGCGATGGCCTCCACCTAGTAGCTTCTAGGTACTAGAAAGCTTTATGAGTGGGGATTGAGGGGGTTGCAGATGTTTGCACGAAAGTCTTCCGTAAGCCTTTTTTGTGACTGACTCTGGAAATCCATAATGTTCAGAACTCTTGGGGGTGGCATCAGCCTGAGCGATCATCTGCCCGCCAGAGCCTCTGGCGAACTTCTCTCAAGCTGGCTATGGCTGGCCAGCCAGTCCCTGCCGCACGTGGCCTGGCAGTCCTCGGATGGGAGGGACGGGTCTTTGCGCCTCGCGAAGTATTGAGTGAACTGTGTATTTTAAAGGATTGACATCCGCAGGAGAATGCCCATTCCCTGGCTATGCCTAGGGTCTTGTTTATTTTCTCGAAGTGGGTCACTCCCCAAACCTGGAAAAAAGATGTATACCAGGACCTTCAGTACGTGACCCTTTGATATTTTAAAGGAGAGGTCGGTCTGTACAAGGGGTCACCTGGGCGCCCCAGATGGGGAAAACTCCGCTGACTCCCGGGGGTTTAATGCTACCTTCTTCTTAGGCGCCACAACGTGTTTCTACAGTTGCTTGGAACTGTGTTTTTTTTTGTTGTTCAACCCACAGTGCAACTGCTTTCAGCTCATGAATTACGACTCAGGCTTTCGGCTTTCAACAGTTTTTTTAAAGGAACGGGTTTGCCGGTTTGCCGCATACGAATGAGTTTTATGAGATTTGCTTGACTTTCCAATAATCCATTTACATACTCCATTGTGGTTTCATGATGGTTGTGGTTTGACCATTGGCTCTTGAATCCCTATTTGCACAGCAACCAATTCTGTCTAGGCAGATTCCTTGCCGCAGCCTGATTCAGGATTCCTTGCCCTGATTCAGAAACTGGATTATTAACTGGCTGCGGCGAGGAATCCTGAATCAGGCTGCGGCGAGAAATCCTGAATCGGGCCGTGGCTAGCTCCTGCAGTAGGAGCTTCAGATTTTTCGCCGTTTTGGCGAGAGCTAGAGGTTCAGCCAAACTGTTCATAAGGAAGACTGTGCAAGTGATTGATTGGTCCAGGTGGCACGGTGCGGGGATTGGACGGATTGCAAAATGTAGACTTTCTTGAAAAGGCGCGAGACAATGCGAGACAACGCGAGACATGGCGAGACATCCCCGCAAGCAACCTTTCTATCCTGGCGGAAGATGACGGTGTACTACGCGAGACACGCGAGACATCCGCCAGACTTCGCCCGTGGACCCCGCGCGAGACATTGCGAGACATTCGCAGACCACCGCTGCAACAGTCCTGTCAGCTCCATCGCACTCTCGCCCTGTAATTACTGCCGCAACAGCAGACCACAAGACTGCCCCCCCAAGCCGCTGGCATGTGGCGCTCCATGAAGATCTGAGCCGGTGCAGTCTTCAAGGATGTCTACGTCGGATTTCCAGAGCTCCGCCAAAAATGCAAGCTGCTGCACTCAAAGGGCGCAATGGATGCCTAAGTTGGTTCAAAAACCAGTGGGTTGGGCACACGGTGCGTGGTTTTCTAAAAAGCGTCAAGGCTGGCAACGCCCATTTTCCTTTCCGATTCTCATGGATGAAGCCAAATATGGAAACAAAGTCCAACTTCTCACAAGACTTCATTGTGCTCCAGGAGTTGTACCAAAAGAAATGCACAGTCCAATCATTCAAGCCATCATTGGAGAGCTATCTCTTGCTGATGTGAAGGAACTGGTTGGGAAGTTCATCGAGGAGGATTTCTCACCTGATCTGGAGATGCACATTTGGATCCAGGGGTCTTGCCCATCAATGAAGCACGCACAATTGGTGCAGTCCTTGGCAGGAATGGATCCGTGATCTTGTCGTTGCTGGAGAGAACAGTGCCCAGATTTTTGGCCCAGATTTTGAGCCCCGAGCCTACGTGCATTTAATTAGTACATTGACGGCCATGCACTGTGCGCAAGTGAAAGTGAAGGTGGAAGACCACACGTCCACCAACTATTTTAGATCCCCATCCGGCCAGTCTCCGGGCGGATCAGGGCGGCCTCTATTCTCTTCGATCTCCAAACCGAGGTTTGCTGGAGTAGGCCCTGGACACAGTGACGGGAAGTACATCTACACTCCTACGGTCGGAGCTGCTCGGAGTCAGGTTGGTCCCTTCGAGGTTGGTCCCTCTGTCGCTTTTGAAGCCCCAAGGGGTGGTAGGTATAGATGGGGTGTACAACCAAGTGTACAACCAATGGGTAAATGGTACCTGGCCACCCCTCAAGTTCCCCAAAGGACATCATTGGCTTGGACTCGACCTGGTTGATGAGGTTGACCTGAGCGAATTGCTGGTAAATGTTGGTGGTGCCGAAACTGGCATCTTTTTGACTTGTTCCCGGCTTCATGCAGACAGGTCCCCAAGCACGGGATGAACCAACTTGGGGCGATGGGTTTTTCACCTCAGATGGTTTCGGAAGAAGGCCTGTGGGTCATAGGGAATTCATGCGAATTGAATGCGTTTTGGATCTTCATGGGCCAGACATGGTCATACTATGGCCACATTATTGGTACCAGGCTCGTAGCATGAAGAGTGACACTGGTTTCATGCGCTTGTAGTTGTACGAGATTCGTTTAATCATTTCGCCAATTGTTTGTTTTGTCATTCGGTGTTTGGTCTGTTGGGACCAGTTTGTGAACCTACAGAAAATGCGATCACCATGTGAGGTGAAACCTCCTGGTTCGGTTTGATTGTATACCGAGCACAGGAAGATACCCAAACGGTTTTGTTTTCCGTTGAAGAACATCTATGCCAGACATTTCCCACAAACGTGTCCGAGATATTTGTGCGTAAAGGCTCATAGTGCTTCGTAGATGCATAGGCCGCTTCGCACAATTTCGGAAACAACTTATAATTTGAGACACAGTTGCTGCAACTGAAGATGATTCATTCCTTAGCCATGATGCACCAACTACTCAATGTTGTAAGCCAATTTCTATCCAAACTCCGACTGCCTACGCCTGCACCAGTAACTTAGCTATACGTCGGGTTTAAGCAGTGGCAGGCGCAACCTAGTGTCAAAGCTAGAGGCGGAGTGCAGCTCTTGTCGTTGCCCTACTTCAGGGTATGCCTCTAATGTTTTCCTGGCCGTTGATTTCGTGCATTCCCCCGTTGGCCTTCAAAGCCGATCAACCATGGTTGACCTGTTTTTGTAGTCTAAAATCCTTAGTAAGCTCTTTTGTAAAACAATGGTTGTCGGGTTCCGGCCACCAACGGAAGAACCACTTTGGAGTCACGGTGACGGCCAACATGTCGAACTCGCTGAGGATTTGGCAGCGCTTCGGCGATTTCGGGCGGGCTTGGAATGGAGGAACTGGTGCTAGTCGATGATTTCTGTGATCATAAAGGGTCCGTCCCAAATACTACTATGGCTTTTTGAGTTCAGTTCGTGTTTGAAGTTCTTCCGGGTACAAAAGATAGTTGGACAAGACAAGGTTGGTCTTGTCTTCGGTTCAAGATGTCAATCGTGTTTGAGCCAATGCCGCATTGAAAGAGACAGCCATTTTCCGTACCTGCATTTTGGTCTGAACCACATGCGCTTGTGATCGCATTAATTGACATTAAACGTATTTGTTTTTCACTATGGGCATTGAGGTACCAAAAAAAACAACATGTATGTGTGTGCATGCAATATCCGCTGCCTCAGGTGCCCTTCCATGCTCCCATGTTCCCTCCTGCTGGACCTACCTGTTTCAGCAGCACAACTTCGGTCCGATTTATCCCCAAATTGGAAAAACTGTGTTCCGGGGCCCGGAAACCCCCAAACTCCGGCCATGGATCCCCCCAATATATATATATATATTTGCAGTCAACTCCATTGCTTTAAGAGTCACCTTTTTGGGCCTCCTGGTCGGGAGCGCCGAACACCGACCAAACACACCATCTTCGGCGCCGCCTTGGCTACACGCCCGTGGACCGCCGAACCGTCCGGTCGAGTCGAGCGAGGTCTGGAACGATCAGAAGTGCTCCAAGAATGTTCCCGTGGCACACTTGCGGGTCGCACGCGTCTTCGAGGTGCGCGGCGCGAGATCTTTCTGGGGAGATCGATCAAGATCCCGCGGGGCCCGGCAAGAACCCTGCTCTGAAGAGCAGGGCGAATGCAGACACCATAAAGAAAGGGGGATTTGCGCGGCAGCAACCCGTTTGGGGGGGCGTGTGAGTGGGTGCAGTCACTCATCGTTCTTCAATGTTCTTCATTTGGTATCTAACGACTTCGCTGGCCTCTACCCTCCACATGTTCAAAAGGAGAAGACTGTTGAGCGAAGTATCCAATAGCTCCACCCTCCTGCAGATTGCACTGGAGAAAACTAGCATATGTTCGTCTAGTTTCCAGCGGTCCAGGTTCAAGAGCACTTGGATTTGAGTTGTGGTTCATGTGTTTTTTCCCCGGAGTAACATGGATGTGGTGATTTTCAGGGTCCATGTTAGTCTGGGGGACATCAAGCGCCTTTTGTCAGACCATGGCTGCAGTTGTGGCGTATTTCCATGGGCGGCCTTCCAGGAACAGGTGGAGGGCCTCGCGCTCTTTCCGCCGAAGATCCTGGTGGTGGCCTCCAGGCCAGGCCACGCCGTGCCCGACACCGGTGGTTCTGGTGGTTTTGGACCCGTGTGACGTACTGTGACCGACGTCGTGGCCATGGTTTTTTCAGTGGATTTCAGGAGAGAACATGCTCTGAACATGTTCTTGTTTCGGAACCTCCCCTGCTGTGGGGCTCACAATGCCGATGCCAAAAGCCAGGAGGTCCATTGGACTGGGGGATACCTGGATTTGGACAACCATTTGAACATGTTTGAACCATTTGTCGGCCTTTACAACAAATCCAAGTCAACAATTGGAGGTCGAAGGTGCTTCAGCTTTGGCCTTCTCCCGAATTTCGTGAGGTTTTTTGCGGTTTCCCACATCGGGTCCTACTATTCGCTCCATCGCGAAGCATCCACAGCTTTCGCTGTGAGCCCTGGAAAATCCAGGTGGATCATGACGACAGCAGGTGGGATAAAAGGAGTAATTGGAAGTTTGGGGTAAGATTAGAATGATATAATAACTCGCAAATTTGGCTAATTGATGTGTTCATAGCTCTCCAAAAGCAAAGTATCCTGGTGCACCAACATAGCAAAAAAATAGCAATCATCTTCAACGGTCTTTTTGGATGTTTTGGGCTTTAACCCTCCCACTCCCGTCCACACGAAAAAAGGTGCCCTTGGAGACACTCGACCTGGACACGTACTTTCGCACTTTCACTCCCCGTGTTTCTCCGGTCACCGGGCAGGACCTGGAACATGCAGAACCGCAATTTCTGGAGTCGTCTTCGGTGGCCCAGCGAACTTCGGGGTGGAAGGCGAGCTCGTCCTCCAGAACTGGAACTTCTATGGAGGACTCCGGATCCGGACTTCAAAGGAGGTCTTCTACTATGGAGGGTTGTATTCGGAAGAACCGGCAAGGATGCCGGCCACAGAAGGTGTGGTGTGGCCGCACAGAACAAGAACAGCCAAAGTTGCAAAGGCTGTGATTCCTTAGACGGGGTGGCTTAAGCTTAAACACCCCCCCGCTTGAGTGTCTAATCAATCCCTTAACATGATTTAGGGATGTCCATTCTCCTGACTTTTGGTTCTGGTGGATGCCTAGTTTTGTATACCTGGTAACCTGGCATACCTCCACTTCAACTTCTCTTGTGAGATTTCATCCTCGTATTTATGTGTCAAAGCTATCAGCACAAATATGCACGAATGGTTCGCATCATGGTTCGCATCATGTGACACATCCATGGAACCCCTCTGCATATGACCAACGGATGCCGCGGGACTCAATAACACTCAGCCGAAGTATCAAAAAGCCGTGGTTCTGTCCTCGTTCTACCATCGCTTCTGTCCCACAGCTTCGCGATCGGATCTCAGGTTCTACGATGCGGGCAAGATCGGGAGCTCTGCGGACGCTCGCGTTCTGTCCTCGCGCTGCGAAGGTTTGGGCGAATAAAAGGGGTGATCTGTGGTGATTCTGATAGGACCGATCGGGGGCAGGTGTTCCAAGCTGGACCCGAATCCGATTCGGAGGCGTTTGAGTCGAGCCAATCCAGGGCTGGCGTTTGAGATGTTTTAAGGGACCAAGGAGTGTTTAGGGCGTCTGAGTGGTAGGTCACCACGGCAACAGGCCCTCATGGTTTTGCCACATAGAGAGAGTCACGGGCGGAGTTGGAGCTGCAAAGAGCATGCGCTCGATTCATGTCATTTCTTTTGAGTGCGAGGGTTGCCGGGATGAGAATTTCATTTCTTCATATTTCTTCATGTTTCGGGTCGTAGTCCTGGTCTCGCTTTAGGGTGCCCCGTCAGGAGGACAGTATTCTCCCGGTTCCATCCGGTTCCTTCGAAGCAAATCCATGGCGACCGGGTCGCATGGTCGCATGGTTCGGCTCATCCCTCACGGTCGACTCTTTGGTTCGGTTCCTTTCGGCTCAGTCACGACTGCTGCGCTCGGCAACGCCGTCTCAGGACTCTCGGAAGGAGCACTTGTTCGTCCGGACCATTGCCACCTGGAGCTGTTTCTGAGGGTAGGCACTCAACATGTTTCAAAGGCACTCAACAGGTTTCAAAGGCACTCAACATGTTTCAAAGGCACTCAACATGTTTCAA